ATAATAATGCAATGTATATAATAAAAAATATAAAAAATAAAAAAAGCCTTAAAAAATTCCGGTTCGAATTAAAATTGGGTTTAAAATGTTGCTATTAAATTGCAAAATGGCCGTTTTATTTGCTAACCACCTTTTTACCCATTTTACAATTGGTATGGAAAAACCGTATTTTTTTAACGTATTTAGCAATTGGAAATGGTTAACGATATTGAATGCTTTAAATAAATTAAATTGTAATAGCAACGCGGTAACGCCGTAGTTCCATGCTGCAATTACCGCTTCCATTATTTTTTAAATTGCCAATTTCGTGCTTTTAACCCGTTAATTGCCCATTTAGCCGTTGGAAAAAATGCTTTTTTTTTCCGCTTCGTTAGCAATTCGTTTCGTTATAATTAATTTAATAACTTTTAAAATTAATAATAGCAAAGCAATAAATTTTTATCCCTTAATTTATTTTTTTTTACGATAATTTTGTTTAATTTGGGTAATATTACCGTAAAAACCTTTTTAAAGCGCTTCGAAAAATAGCTTGTAACAATTGTTGCGTTAGCAAATTTTGCAATAACGGTTACACCCGGCAATCCGGCGGTTTTAAATAACCCGTTCGGAAAATGGTTTTAGCCCGTAACTTTTTACGGTTTGGTACGGCCCGTTGCTTCCATAATATTTTGCGGGGTAACGAAAACGGGCATTTGGAAAGGGTTTAGGAAAAAATAATTCGGAAATTTGGTTTTGCTAATATCGAAAATGTTAATTAACGGGTTTAAAAAAAACTTGGATAACAAAATTTCGGTTTTTTTTTAATGGCTATAAAGCGTATCCAGGTTTTTTCCGGTTTTAATTAAATTTAGTAATTAATTCGGGGGTTTTTTTTAAAAGCTTTTTAAACGGGCCCATTTTTTAAATTTCCAAAATACGCCGTTTTTTTTAATATTTTGTCCCGTTGCAAAAACGACGCTTTTTTAATAATTAAATATCGTTTAGCGTTTTTTTTTAACAAATGCTTTGTTCGCGGCTTTATACGCTTTCCATGCTATTTGCATTTTATTTTTAATAAAAGCGCGTTGCAAACGGTTCGCTTTTTTACGAAAGTTATCGAATTTTTATATCCAATAAAAGGCGCGTTTATTAAAAGGGTTTGGTTTTTGTTAAAAGGCTAGCTGGTTAGCAAATTGGGTTAATTATTGCATTAATTTATCGGCTTTTTTGTTTATAACTTTAGCGTTATGCATATCCTTAATCGTTATTAATTCGCTAGTTATTTTGGCTTTAGCTTTTGCTAATTTCTTTATTAACTTAACGTTTTTCCATTTTTAACCTTTAATTTATCGAAATTAAAATTGTTATTGTTCGAAAAAAACGCAAAATATTTAAAATAAATGGTTGGACTTTTTTATCGTATTATTTTATTTTAAATATTCCATTTCGAATTATTGCGTTATTTAAGCGTAATTAATTATGCTATTTTTTTCCTTTCGTTTTTTTTTCGTAACTTTTCCGTAAAGCGTTGCTAATCCAAATCGTTTGTAACGTGTTAATTCCAAAAAGGTTTTGCTTTTTGCATTATATTTATTGTATAAATTCCAAATTAAATAATAAAGGTTAAAATTGCTTGTAAAGATTATATGCTTTTGGGTTAAGTAAGTAACGATTGTAATAAAAAGCGTTGCCCAATCGGGGCTTGCTTTAAAATTTAAAAAATATATTAAATATATTTTTAATAAGCTTTTTAACGTAATAATTGTAATTAAAGCCCAATCGTAACCGCACCGGGCGATTTACAATTTAAAAGCAAAACGGTTATGCACGTAAAGTGCTGCGTTAAAATTAAATTTTTGGTAATAAATAAGCTTGTAGCTATAACCGTACGGTTTTAAAAGGTTTTTGTACTGGTTGCGCTCCGGCTTTTAAATAGCTAAAATGTCGTATTATTTGTTGCTATAAAAAAAAAATTGCTTTTCCCTTTGCCTTTTCCTATATTTTAATATAATATATTTAATTTTATACATTGCTATTATCGTTAATTGGCTAGCTAAAAATAAACGTAATTCCGGTTGCAAAAAAGTTAAACGGTACCGGTATAAAGCCAAATTGGGTTGGTTAAAATGCAAGCAATTAAAGTAAAAGTAAATTGGGGGAAAAAAAAAGGCTTTATGGTTTAATGCATTGGCAAAATTGGAATTAGTAACCGCAATGTTACTAAATGCCGTTGGGTCGTTAACGGCCCAGTATTTATTTATTCCCTTTATTCCCGCTATTTTGTTAAAGCCGAAAAAAGCAAAATTTAAATTTGTAAAGTATTGGTTTATTTTAAAAGCGGATTTGGAAAAACTTAACGTTTTTTTGTTACGAAATTTTCGTAATTTGCTTATATATTTTTTAATTAAAAAATATTTTTTTGCTTTCGTTATTTTTAATAAAAAGCCGTCCCGTTTGCGTTTCGTTAGTAACTTTAAATTAAACAAATTATCCTTTTTTTGTAACGGTTAAAAAGGGCCGGGTAAAAAGCGGATAAATGCAGAAAACGGGAAGGTATGGACGGCAAAATAGCTTATTTGGTCCGGTTAAAATGCGCGCTCGTTCCCCGTTTTTAAAGCAAATTATTTTGGCCGGTTTAAAAATGTATTTTTGGCTTTTTTAATTTTTTTTTTCGTTGCAAAGTACGCTCGTTAAAAAGCCGGGTAATTGCTTTTGCAATTGCAACATTTCGGTTCGCTTTTTTTTGCAATAAATTAACCTTTATACAACGGGTACAAAAATTCCCCGGTTTTGCCGTTGCCATGCAACGGCCCGGCGCAATGCGGGCAATAAACCGTTTTTTTGCAAAATTTTAATTTATATCCTTACCCGTAGCATTTATAATATTAAACGGCTTTTGTTCCCGTTGCAAACGGTTTAACGTTAAAAATTTTGCTTTTAAATATAAAATCGTTATTATATACGATTTAAACTGCGGTAAAGGATATAATCCTAGCCAATACCGTAGCGTATTTTTCCAATTGCCGGGCGTTTTATATATAAATAAAATTAATTTCGGCTTTAATATTATGCGCTTTAAATTCGTATAGCAAAATATTGTTATCGTTGGTTGCGTTTTATTAAATGCTTTTAATTACAACGTTATAAATTCGGGTTTAATATATTGCTTTGCTGCTAAATATTTTAATAATTTACGCGGTATTTTTCGTATGCTTAATAACGGTTATATAAAATAAAATTATTACGTTACCGCTGGAAAGTTTGCGCGTTATTTTTACGTTATTATTAAATTTTTTAATTAATGTAATGGTAATTTTAACGGGTATGCAATTCGTAATTTTAAAAAAAGCGTTTTCGGTTAAAATGGTAATTTTGCGTTCGGTGCGCGCAAAAATATATTTCGGGGGGGGGGGGGCCGGTATTAAAAAATGCGTAAAAACGGATCGTAAACGGGTAATTACCGGTTTGGCCGCTTTGCAACAAACCGGTTGCTAAAATTAAAGCGTAATTAATGGTTTATTTGCGGGCATTGCGTATTTTAACGATAATTTCGTTTTTTATAATGCAAAAATAATTAAGCATATGGTTGCAATGGTTGCAAAATCGCGTTTCGAACGCGTTTATTACGGTTTTAATCCATTCCTTTACGATTTTAAATATTAATTCGGTATTGCCGGGGGGCATAAAAGGCTTTAATGTTTCGATTAATTAATTTTTTAAATTTGCGATACGGGTGCGCGTTGGAAAAAGGTTAAAAGCGTTGGTTATAATGGTATTGTTGCTGGTTTTGGGGCGGTTAGTAACCGTTTCGTTACTTATAAAGCTGTTAGCGCCGTTAATAACCGCGCCGGAAGCGCCTTCGCGCGCGGACATACGTCCGGTAACGAGCCGGGGGCGAAAAGTTTAAATTTAATGTTAAATTTGTTGTGGTTAATGGCGTTTTCCCGTTGCGAAATCGGGGAAGCAAACGTTGTTTTTGGCTATAATATATATAAATTACAAAAACTTAACGCATTAAATTACTAATTAAATTTTTAACAAGCGGCAAACCCGTTAAAACGAATACATTTAAAATTATAACATTAAAATTATATATTGCAAAGGTTTGGAAAACGGCAAAACGGACGCTTTAAGCAAAAAGGTTAACCATAAAATCGATACCCCGGAAAAACCCAGGACGCTTTTGGCTTATAAGTTAAAAAGGTTGTTAATTTTAGCTTAACAAGCATAAATTGAAATAACCAAACCAAAAAAATAAACCCCGGTTAAAATTTTCGAAATTTATATATAATTAGCTTATAAATATTAAAAATAACAAAAATTTAAAAAAAAGTTTTAATAACATTACAAGTATACCGAAACTTAAATTAAAGTATAAAAAATAATAAAGGATTGCTAAACGTATGCTAAAAACAAACTTAACAAGCATTTTTTATAGGCTATTTTAACCATTGCTAGCGCTTAACAAAATATGGCAAAAAATTATTATAAATTTTATTGTTAAACTTTCCAAATTAAAAAAATTAACAACAAGCATTTAATATAATAACATATTGGTAATGGTAAATAAGCTTACTAAATACGCTTTATATTTATTTTACAAAAAAAGCAATAACGCTACGCAAATGGCTTATACTTTTTTCCGGCATGTAATAATAAAGCATAGCATTTTATAACGTTTAATTACAAATTAAAACAAATTATTTATAAATAAATTTTGGAAAGCCTTTACAAATTTTTTCGGAATAAAATATGCTTTATTAATAACGTATTATTTTTAAACGGATGGATAAACGAAACGAACAAACCAAATTATAAAGCAATATTTGCAGCATTACGTTAATTACAAACAAATTAATTAAGTATAATTATTGCTTATTGCTTAATTTGCTTACTATTAGGGGTCGATCGGTGCAGAGGCGGGTGGCTACCAGGTTACGGGCCGGATACGGTGTTTCCTTTGTTAAGCCTCCGTAAATCTTTTACCAAAGGTGCTATTTCCAACAAAAATTATTCCTTTTTTAGCTTCCCTTTCCTTCGTGCCCTTTCGGGCATGCAAAGTCGGTTTTATAAATTTTTCGCGCTTTATGCGCTTTCGTGCAATTTAAGCTTTACTTTATTTTTTAATTTTGCCATTATGCTTTGGCCGCAATACCGGTACTTTGCCGGTACGTTACCGGGAAAATCCGTGCCCGGTTAATTATGCTAATGCCTTTTTTTCCTTTTTGCCGGGCGGTTTTGCCCGTGCATTTAACGCTTTTTGCTTTTTACAAGGCGGTTTTGCCTATGCTTTTAACATATTGCCTTTTCCCGATACGGCTTATTTTAAACCGCGTACGCCGCACGGGGGTATCCCGTAAGTAACCGGTAATTAGCGGTATTCCGTTAAACCGTTTTAATATTTGGCAATGTTTAGGAAAACCAGTTATAAAGCTTTGTAATATGCGGAAAAATAAATTTGTACCGGTATGTAAAAGGCTTTTTTTCCCGTTTAAAACCGCAAACCTTTTTTTTTCCTTTTTATGCATTTAATAACCATTTTAAAAATTTCGATAACCGTAATTGTAAATAATTAATATTTAATTGCTTTTTTTTTAATTTTTAAACTTAACCGGTAATTGCAAATGTTATTTAATATAACCGCCGCGGTAAAAAAAATCGAATTCCCGTTAAGTATTTGCTTCGGGTTTTTCGGTTTTAACCGGCCCGTTGGCCCTTTTTGGCCCCCCGGTTCCCCAAGCCCCGGTTTAGCGCTTTTTTGGTAACCTTCCGGTATTTTCCTTAGCTATTGTGGTTTAATCGGATTCGGATTTGCCGAAATTTCCAATCCTTTAAATTTTTAACAATTGTTTTGCCGGTAACTTTCCGGTAAGCCTTTTAAATACCGCGGGTCCATCGGGCCCTTTTGCGCTTGCAGCTTTTTAAGCCCTTAACAAACGTTTTGCCGGTAACCCCCCGGCGGGTTTTAACCGCCGCGGCAAAAAAACTGCCGCCGAAAAAAAGCGTAAAACGCGCAACGAGCGCCGCTGCAACGCTTTCGATTTTAATAAATTTGCCCCCAAAACGGACACCGCTTTTTCCTCGTTTTACATGGGTATTTGCAACGCATTCCCGCCGCAAAAGTTTATTAATTCCCAATAAAACGATAATTAAAAATTTATTTGCTTGTATTACAGTACGCGTCGGGGCATTTAGGGAAGAACTTAAAGCCGCACTTTTAGCGCGCTAACGTTACGCTTACAAAACCGCAACAAAACGTTAAAAACGCTTTTCCCAAATAGCTTCCTTTTCGTGCAATAACAAAGCCTTTTTTATAACAATAAAGTGTAAGCCGTAGCAGCTTGCCCCTTTTTAAAAATACTTACACGGAACGTGCGGTATTTTGCGGCCGTTATTTAAATTGTTAAGCATATTAAAACTATGCCGTTAACTTTTATATACCAATATGCTTCGATAATTATACGGGGTCCATTAAATGCATTTATTGCAAAAACGTAATTAACAATAAAGCTTGCATTAAATTTTCCAAATAATTTTAAAAAATGGCCCAAAACCTTTACAAAATTTTAAACACCGTTTACAAGCAATACTTTAAAGCAATACCGAAGCTTTTTAAAAAAACTTATTAAAATCCAATTTCGCGCTTGCAAAATTATCCAAAAAGCTAAATCCTTTTATACCATATTAGCTAAACAATTTGCGCGTTACAAACGTTAAACCGTTATTTAAAAGCGCATTTAGCGCAAAATTGCTAGCGTTGCAACATTAAAAGCTACCCAAAACATTTTCCAATAATTTTACGCTTTTGCCGTTTAAACAAAAAAGCAAGCTTAAATTTTAATTATTACCAAAACCCTTTTTAACAAAATAACGGCGTTTTTTAAACGTTTTAAAAAAGGTATAATTATTTTTTTAAGCATTTTAAAAAGGGTATGGTTGTTTTTTTAATGGCATTGCCGTTAGCTTTGCTACAATTACGGCGCATTTGGATATTTAAACTTACAATCGCGCGGTTTTTTTTAAAAATGCGGCGTTTGTATTAGCGCCGGAAAATGCCGCTTTTGGCGCCAACAATTTTAGCGGTAATAATTTTAACGCTAACAAAAAAACGTGGTTTCTGAAAGTTTTAGTTTTTTTAAATACGGTATTTAATTAATTTTTTTTTACATATTTTTTTAATTAATTATTGGTATTTTTTTTAAAAAAGTAATTAATTTTAAAAAAAATTCGTTAATTTATTATAATTAAAATTACAATTTTTTTTCGTTATATTGCTTTTGCAGCATTGCAAAATTCCAATATTTTTAATTACTAATTAAATTTTAATGCTTTAATAAATAATTTCCAAATGCTTTTTTTTCGTTTTTTAATAAATTTAAATACCGCCGATATGCATTTGCCGCTATCCAAATATTTAGGCCCGTTTGCTATGCTATTTGGAAATTTTTTTATTTTTTTTTCGGGCAAGCAATGGTATTTTATTATAACGTACGTTTAAAATGCGGTAATTGCTTTAGCGTATTGCGCTAAGCATGCTTTTTACGGGCTTTCCAAAATGTGCTACATTTTGCATATTTTTTGGAATTTAAATATATTGCATTATTAATTTAGGGCGTTTTTTATATTATACCGTTTTTATTTAACTTTTTATTTATAAAATACAATATTTTACGGCTATTACAAACCGTTTACGGTTTTTTTTACGTTTTTCTTTGGTAACCAACCGGTTTAGCACGTTTAAAACATTTTTTTGGGCCATTTTTTTGGCTTTTATTACTTTTTTTTTGTAATACCCCCGTTTTTTCCGGGTATTTACCCGCTAAAGTTCGGTATTTTCCTTATTTTATAAATTTGCTTTTAATAAATTTGCTTTATACGTTTAAACAATTTTTTTCGTAATATTCCTTTTAAAAACTTACGAATTTTCCGATTTGTTATAGCTTATCCATTTAACAAAGTATTTTCGTTTTTGCAAAAGCCTTTTGTATTTTAACAAAACTTTTATTTTAAAACGGTTTTTTTTTCGTTTTAATTTTTAAATTTTTATTTTTTGGCTTTTTGTTAGGTTTTTTTTTAAACGCTTGCAATAAATTCGCCGGAAATACGTTATATATTTGGTAATTTATTAAAAGCTTTAACCGGAACGTTAAACCGGCTAACTTAACCATTTCCGTAATTTAAAAAGGTTTTAGCCATTTATTTAATAGCTTTTTCGAAAGCCTTTTTATTTTAATGTTTGCCGTATTTAACAATACCCAATTTTTTACCCCAAAAAGCACCGGGGTTTTGTTTTTATCGTAATACTTTTTATACGTATTATTCGCTTTTTTTAGCAATTTTTTAATTTGGGTTTTAATTGCTTCCAAAGCCCCCGCTTTAATTTTAACCGTTGCTAACCCTTTTTTTTTAACCACCCAAAAGTTATAAAGCTTTTGCGGGTAAAATTTTATTAACAAAAACGCCGGGGTTTTTTGCAATTCCAAATGCACGTTTGTATTATGCATTTTCGTTGCCAAATGCAATAACAACGCCCAATCGTTTTGCTTTTTGTAATAAAAGCACCGGAAATAATACTTTATTGCTTGGTTTATCCGTTCCGTTTGCCCGTTAATTTGCGGGTAATACGCTATTAAAAGCTTTTCCGTAACCTTTAAATATCCGGCAAAAATTGTTTAAAACCCATTTATAAACAATTTGTTTCGGTTTAATACGATTTTTTCGGGTATTTTTAACAATTTCCCAACGTATGCAAATAAAAAATTCCTTAATTTTTTATTGGTTAATTTTGTAAACGTTAAAATAAAAAAGCTATATTTAATAAATTGGTTTACCATTATTAATATTGCGTTGCGCTTTTTGCCGGTTCCATTTATTAACGTTAAAAACTTTTCGATAAAATTTATCGATAGCTTTTGTTCCGGGCGGTTTGGTATAAATAGCAATGCTAGCAACCCGTAAAATGTTTATATTTTTGGCTTTATTTATTGGTATATTTAATACGTTCGTACGTATTTGCGTACGTTTTTAACTATATTTAACCATTTAAATTGCCGTTTAAATTTTTTTAAAATTTTAGCTATATTTTTGTAACTTTTCGTTAAGCCATTGTATTGTTTTTAAAGCATTGCCCATTGTAATAACGCTAAATTCGGAACCCAATTTTTTTTTTTATATTTAAGCAAATTATTGCTAATTTCCCAAACGTTAAGCTTGCTTTTCCAAATATTGCTTTAAACGAAATCGTTTTTTATTTATGCTTTAAAAATGCGCTTTAATATCGTTTTGGTATTTTTTTAATAATAATCGTTTTTACGTAATTTGCTTTTCGGAATTTGGCCAATAAATTGCTTTGGAATTTTTTTTTTGCTATATTGCCTTTCCCGTTTACGGGCATATTTTAAAAACGTTTTAACAAATTATTTGCGGGGTTTCGGTATTTTGGTTTCCATTTAATCGTAAAATCGTACTTTGCTAAATTTTCGAACCATTTTGCTTAGCGCTTTATTACTTTTTTTTTGTTAAAATATAAGTATAATTTAAATGGTTAGTAATTACTTTAACAATTTTTTGTAAATAAGCTAAATAATATTGTTACTTTTCGAAAGCTTTTATAATAATTAACAATTCGAAATTAAAAATTGCATATTGTAATTCTTTTTGGCGCAGCTTTTTTAACAAATAAATTACCGGGTGTTAATGGTTATTTTGCAATTGCAATAATATTGCTTTTATTGCAAAAGCCAAAGCGTTGGTTTTTACGCATAACGGCTTTAAAAGGTCGAAATGCATTAATATTAAAGCTTATGTAAATAACAATTTTAGCTTGCAAAAAGCCTTTTTCGCAATGTTTCCCAAATAAAACGCCGTATCCTTTTTAAAAAGGTTTGTTAAAACGCGGTAATTTTCGCGTAACCTTTTACAAACTTTAAATTTGGTTATTTTAAAACCTAAAAAATCGATGCTATCCGTTTCGAATTCGTATTTGGCCGGGTTAACGTAAAGCTTGTACTTTTCGAATTGCTTCAATACCGTTTTTATTGCTTTACGGTATTTTTCCCGTATTTTTAAAAAAATAAAAATATTGTTTAAATATATAATGCAAATGCTATTAATTAATTTCCCAAATGCTATATTAATGAAGCTTTAAAACGTTATTAATGCATTGGCCAAACCGAATAGCATTGCTAAATATTTATAATGTTCGTATTTGCAGCAAAAAGCGATTTTTTATTTGTTTTTTATTAAATTCGTATTTTGTAATAAGCGTTTTTTAAATCCAATTTAATAAAAAACTAGGTTTTAAATACCCGGTTAAATATTTTGTAAATTAACGGAAATATTAACCGGTTTTTTTAAATAATTTTATTAAAATTTTAATAATTAATATACAAGCAAAATTTCCTGTCCTTTTTTAAAACGAATAAAATTTTGGCGCTAGCGGAATTAGTTAAATGCCGGATTTAACTTTTTACTATAGCTTTATTAAAATATCCCTAAAAAGTTTTTAATTTTTTTTTGAATAAAAAGTAAATGTTTTTATAACACGGTATCGTTTTTTTTAAATTCGATTGCGTAATTTTAATTTATATGTTTTAGCAAAAGGTTTAATTTATAAAGCTGCGCATATTTTGCAACCATTTTTTTAACTTATTTCGGAAAAGCTTTTAACTTTTTACCGGGGTTTTTCGAAATTTCCAAGCATGCAACCGTTAATACGGTTATTGCTTGTTCCAATTAAACCAGCTTTTTAGCTATTTTTAACAAAATTATTTTAACCTTTTTAATAATTACCGAAAACCTTTATTTTATATTTCCAAACCGGATTTTAATATTTTTTGGTTGGAATTAAAATATACTTAACGTAATATTATACCCGGCCCGGGGCATAATTACGTAAAATACCGTTAACTTTCGGGTTATTTTTTAACTATCCGTTATTTAAATTTTGCATTTTTTTTTTTATGTAAGCATGCGCTTTTTTGTATCGAATTACGCTAAATAACCCCCGTTTGGCACCGGTATTTCCTTTGCTTTTACTAGCAAGCGGTTATGCATTAAATTAACGTTGTTCCTGTTATTAACCAATGCTTTTAACTTTATCCGGCAACCGTTAACCCGTAAATATATTTCGGTTTTCCAGCGCGTTTTGGCCGTTAAAGCGCACTTTTAAGTTCCGGTACCCGAACGGCCAAATAACGGTATCGAATTAAATAGCAATATTTTGCTTTTTTTAAAGCACGCCAGCCGGATATAACCCAGCTTTTTACATTTGTAACACCGTATTTCGGGCCTTTTTTTTTGCTTTTTAAATGGTTGCTGGAACCGTTGGGGGTTTTGCATTATTTACCCGTATTTTGCATGCCGCAGCGATATAACCCAATTGCCCGCATTTGTAACAAGTAACCGACTTT